CCTAATTTGGAAACACCTAGTCTAGTTAGTTCAATCCCTCACAACCTTACCAGGGTACTGGAGTAGTCTAGCCTTATGACTTCAGTTTCAGTTTTGATGAATAAAAAAAATCTTGTCCATGTTCAAGTACCAAAACCAGAAAGTCATAGCTGTCTCACCCTTGGTCTTTCCAAAGCACAAACCAGCCTAATACCTTCCTGCTCAGCTTTCAAAATAACTCACTACCCTCTTATTACCAATACTGGACAGTCCCAATTTCTTTTTAAAAGGAAATCTCAATCTAACAATCTTTGTTCTAGAACAGGTCAGAAGTTCCACAACCCAAGTTCCACCACTAAACAACCTCTTTGAGCCTGTTTCCTCATCAAGAAAATGAACAAAATCCTTCCTCTTTGCCTTACAACATTTCTGTTGGGCTTTTTTTTTTTTTAATCAAAATAAGATAGTTACAAACATTTTGGTAAATTTAAAGTCATTATGTTGAAGACCCCAAGAATTTAGTTACCGCCAATTAGGGCAAATGGAGCTCCAGTACCTAAGAGAATTCCTAAAATAACAAATGCAATCTTTTCTGACATTAAAAAAAACTTGTCAAAATAGTTATTGAACAAGGAATTTCCATATGATAAAACTTTATTACTGAAACACACTGAACACGACCTCACTCTAAAAAGGGAGGGGGAGGGGAAGATTCCCATAAAAATGTTCAAACAAAACAATTGGCTTTTGTATAGCCCTGAGACTTCCTGCTTTACCTAATGAGGCAAGGCAGTGTCTTGAGAGAAAACCTGGCAGAAAGGACAGTGTGAAAGTGAGCAAATACCTGAGCAATTAAAATGTGTCTTGGGTAGTTTTGTAATGTTTTGGCAACTACAGCACAAAAATTAAGAACTTAGTCACCTAAATATCAGAAAACGCTTAAATTGCGGGCACCTCTCAGGGAAGTAAAAAGCTAAAAAGTTAATGTGTAACATTCGAAATGATTTCTTTAAAATGACACATTATAAAAATAAGTATTTCAAGCACCTAAAATTAAGTGCTGATTCTAGCTGCTCTTCCACAGCTTTCAAACTGTTTACATCAAAGTGGTATTTTTTAATATCACCAATAGAGTTTAATTCAAACAAAGGAACATGATTTAATCTATCTCTACGGCTCACCTTTTACTAAAATGCTTAGTGGTTTTAAAGGTGTTTATTTTTACCACACTGAATAAACATTCTGTGGTCATAAATTTATTTTAAAGAAGTTCATCTCAAACCAAACTAAACAAATTCCAACTTCAAAAAGCTGTGGCCTTGGCCAAAATGAATTCAACTGAGACTAAGGCAAAGCACTAACTCAAAGTTCTGAATCCCGTGAGTATTTCCAAAGAGCTCAGATAAAGAATCAACAGCCCCGAAGAGTGTTTTATAAAGTTAAAATTAGCCATGAGTCAAAATGTTTATTTTGTTACAAAAACTGCATCGGAATCCACATCTCTTGGGGGTGGCTTGTCTTGGTGACTTTTTAAGTGTTTTCATAAAATAAACAAAATGTTAAACCTATTGTTTCAGAAGTAACTGACTTTAAAATAGAACCCAAGAAAAGCCTCACAAAAATCTTATTTTTAACAATCCCAGTAATAAAAGTGAGCAAAATGATATCGAGAGCTCAGAAACTGTGTTTTGTAAACTGAACAATGAAGGGTAACAATCCTTCAAGTTATGGAAAGGCTAAAACCTTCTCTGATGATGTGTGTGGGTTTTTAGTTTTTTTTTGGGGGGGGGGCCCTCCATGGGGGGAATTACTGGAGAGTAACCCTCAGCAGACGTGGGAGTGGTAGTGACAAGTAAAACAAATGACCTATGTTTACCAAGCATGTTTGTGAAGACTAAAGCTATCTAGTATTGTGTATCTAGATGGCTTTCCGACTAGCGAACGACGAACCCTTCTTCTGAGTTAAGAGACACCAACACAGGGAAGCTCAAAGAGGAAGAACCCACCAAAAACACAAGCGCTCACGGAAACAAAAGGCCATAGCACCCAGGAGCCTAAAAAGCATTCTGAAACTTCCTTATGGCCACTTCTCTACATTTAAGGCTCACAAAGTTCCCCCATGGAGGGTCTGGTCTGTGGACACAGGGCCACGGCCGCTTCTAAAGCGATTTATTGTTCCTCCTCCTTCGGCGCTGCCACGGAAGCTCAAGAAGTCGAAGAAATCCGGGGTGGCACAGAATTACACTTCATGGCTACACATTAGACTCGGGGCTTCGCAAACCCATCAAAAAAAAGCAAGCCAAATAGCAACATCAATCTTCGGGGTTCTCAACAAGGCCGAGCAGAAATGCAGAGGCACGTCTAGCCTTGGGCCCGAGCCTAAACCCACGGCATTTTCCTCGCTTCGGCCCCGCTCCCCACCCCCTCCCTCCTTTGATAACAATAGGGGCCTTGCTGCTGACTCCAAAACATGTACGAGGAACAGCGAGTGAGAAGCCTCAGCCAGGGCCCCGGCGGCTTTTCCAAAGCCCTTCTCACCCCCTAACCACTCTCAAACGCCAATACGAAGGGACAGTCTGCTCGCTAGGGGTCCGGAGCAGCGTTTTGGGCAGGCGGGGTGCGGATACTCACGGGCGGAGCGGTAGGATGAAGATGGATTTCAGCCCCCCGATCTTCTCTCTCCGGCGCTCTCGCTCCCCCTTACCTTTCACTCCGACAACATGGCGGCCCACTGGGGACTGGGCTGGCGCGATGCATCATGGGATAGGCTCTGGCTCCGGCTCCGGCGGTGGCAGCGGCAAGTGCAGAGAAGGCTGGCGGCTCTGGAACAGGTTGCCTGGTTGCCATGCCAACTCGAGGCCTGTGTGAACTCCGGGAAACTCGCAGGCAACTCAACCGCTGCGCGCGCGAGTGCCCGCCCGCTAGGCGAGCGCGCGTCGCCAGGGCAGAAGACGGGGTCCCGGCTACCCGCATCTGAGCGTGCAGGGTACGCGCAGCGCTCGTCCCCGCACAGCCTGGAGCTGGGCACGCGGGGACGCTCCGGTGACGCTCGGGAACCTTGGACATAGCCCTCGCGAGCTCGCTTACAGCATAACATCCTGCGTTGGTGATGAACCGCTTCTGCGCGGCTATGGCCTTCGACGGGCTGGCTTCAAAGCCCTTCTTCGTAGCTTTCTAGCTCTGTGCCCTTATCTAGTCTACCTGCCTCCGTTTCCTCATCTGCAAAATGAGAAGGAAAATGATAACATCTATTTAACAGGAATGGCCGTGAGAATTAAGAGGAATAATATTTGTCAAGAGCTTAGTACAGTCCCCGGGACTCGAAACAGTACAATATAATTTGTGAGGTCCAGTGCAGAATGAAAAATGCGGAGCACCTTGTTTCAAAATTATTACAAATTTCAAGATGGCAGCTGAAGAATATGAAACAAAGAACATGAAGCCCACCCTTTTTGTAAGCAATGAGTCTTAATGATAGCTGTTGGCATTCTGTCCACTTTCAGCAATGAATGGCAATGTGGCCATTTGATGAAAGTGACTTTTCAAATCATTAGTATTTGATAAAATATAATTATGCTATCTCAAACTAAACAAAAGATAGTTTGAAACCTTAGACAAACCACAATACTATAAAAGACCAGACGATGTTCAGGTACAAAACTCTACAATTGGAGAAGGGAAAATGTTTGTAATCATGAATCAAAATCTATAGATCATAAAGACAAAGATTATAAGAAATGTAAACATCTGTACATGAAATGATGCCATCAACGAAGTAGAACAAATGAGGAAATGGCTAAAAATACTTGCAATATACATACAGGGTAGACAAATGGTTAGTAATCCTGATAAATACAGAAAGACTCTTACCAAAAAAAAAAAAATTAGACAAAGACATTAAATTACACATGTGTGGGTGGCACTGGTAGGTAGCTCAGGGGGTAGGGCGCTGGCCACATACACCCAGTCTGTTGGGTTTGAACTCCGCCTGGGGCAGCTAAACAACAATGACAACTGCAAATGGCTGGGCATTGTGGTGGGCTCCTGTAGTACCAGCTACTTGGGAGGCTAAGGCAAGAGGATTGCGTAAGCCCTAGAGTTTGAGGTTGCTGTGAGTTGTGACTCCACAGCACTCTACCAAAGGCAACATAGTAAGATTCTGTCTCAAAAAAAAAAAAAATTAAATTAAAAAAGAGGGTCCGGCACAGTGGCTCATAGCACTCTGGGAGGCTGAGGCAGGTCAATTGCCTGAGCTCACAGCTTTGAGACAAGCCTGAGCCAGAGCCAGACTTGGTCTCTAAAAATAGCTGGGTGTTGTGGTGGGTGCCTATAGTCCCAGCTACTTGGGAGGCTGAAACAAGAGAATAGCTTGAGCCCAAAACATTGAGGTTGCTGTGAGCTCTGACACCATGGCACTCTACCAAGGGCGACAAAGTGAGACTCTGTCTCAAAAAATTTAACAAATAAAAAGAAGACTTTGAGCAGCGCCTGTGGCTCAAAGGAGTAAGGCACTGGCCCCATATGCTGGGGGTGGCAGGTTCAAATCCAGCCCTGGCCAAAAAAAAAAAAGAAAGATATCAATTCTCTTCTTACAGGCTAGTTATTGTGGTTAAATGAACACAGGTAAGGTGTTCCATATAGAATAAGAGAATAAATGCCAAATAAATGTTACTATTTTGTTATAATTGTGATGTTATATTCACTTCTGAACCCTCAGAGACCAACTTAGGCCAGGGCAGATAGTAATTGCTCATTAAACTGTAAATGCATGAATTCAACAGCTATTTATACTACCAACACTGAAATTCAACAATCCTGTGAGTAATATGCTGTATGCAGAGATCGAGCTCTGGAGTCAGACCAGAAATTACTTACCTAACCTTTCTGAGCCTCCATTTTCTCCCCTGCAACCTGGGGCTCACTTAATAGCACTAAATGAAATTAAGCTAATAAAGCATTTAGCCCTATGAGGCCAGAACACCGCAGAGTGCTAGGTAACCATAATAGGAATCCACAGGAGGAGAAAATTTCGCAGACATGAGAAATTTAAAAATTTTCAGAATCTTACCAGTCTCTGTGCTCCATGATTCCCTTTTGAGATGCATGGCTAATTCATTAGTTGTACTTGGGTATAGAGATTCTAATGTCAGTGTAGCCATAGCTATGTAGTACCAACCTTCAGGCCCTGCCCCATCTAGCCAAATGATGTAATCCCAATAGAATACTTGTCACCAATCCCTGGTTGCCCTTAAGAAATTGCTCTCAAGATCCTAAGGCCTCTGCCTAGTCCCCAAATAACCCTTTTAGAGCCTTGCCTCCAGCAAACACCTTTTTTTTTTTTTTTTTTTGGAGACAGAGTCCCACTATGTTACCCTCGGTAGAATGCTGTGTCATTTGAATGTTGTCAACCTCAAACTCTTAGGCTTACGTGATTCTCTTGCCTCAGCCTGCCAAATAGCTGGGACAACAGGCGCCCGCCACAATGCCTGGCTATTTTTTTATTGTAGTTGTCATTGTAGTTCAGCAGGCCGAGGCCAGGTTGGAACCTGCCAGCTCTGGTGTATGTGGCCAGCGCCCTAATGGCTGAGCTACAGGTGCCAAGCCCTCCAGCAAACTCTTAAGACTGTCCTGTTCTCAAATGCTTACCTGTGTGCCAAGCACTGTACTAAAGACTTTTATATTCATTATTTCATTTAAAATGCCCAAGATATCTATGACATGGGTATCCTTCCTGTTTAAAGATGAGAAAACTGAGGCATGGAGAGTTTAGGAAAATGGATCAGCATTTATTCAAACATTTTGTCTACTGCTATTTGCAGAAAGTTGTCTAGGCAAGGAAATAATCCAAATCATGCCTAAAGCTTGGGAATCTTCACATTTCATCTGCTTAAACAGATATGGAATAGATAATAACATCAGTCTTTGGGAGTTTTTGAAGCCTAAACATCTGATCGCGCTGACCTTGAGAGAGGCTTAGGCTGGATTTGAGAAGGATATTTAATCTAATCATGAGAGCTAGCCCAATCTATCATAACCTAATCAGAAAAAAAAAAGACATACAGATATCTTAGGCAGGAACTTTTAATGAAGGCCTCTAGAAAACCTTGGTTCAGGAAACTCAAATGTTACCTGTTCCTTCATAGGGTAGTGGCTCTCAAAGCATGATCTGAGGCTTACTGATAAATCAGCCAACTTTACACTGATGGCTCAGTCCAAATTCTAGAATAGACAAATATACAATTCCACACTTTCATCCTCTCTTACAACAAACTATTTGACTAGTACAAGTTCCAATAATGTGGTATTCATACACTAAAAGTAGAGCATTCTCCAGCAAAGTTTAGATTCCCCAAATTTCTGGAAGGATATTTTGTAACCAGTGTGAGTTTGAGTTGCTTTTTCCACTGAGTTACAATTGTGTTTCTGTATACTTGTTGAAACTCCCTTGGGTGCTTGGGTGAAACTTTCCTTCCTTGTTTTGATGCTTGGTTAATGGTTACACTGTTAGCATTTCCATTGTCAGTTTGTTTCTTGGTTGATGGGGGGGGGTTCTGTTGTTTTGGGGAGGGTTATTTGTTAGTTTGTTGAGACACGGTCTCACTTTGCCCCATTTGATACAGTGCTATGGCATCCTAGCTCACAGCAACCTCAAACTCTTGGGCTCCAGTAATTCTCTTGCCTCAGCCTCCCAAGTAGCTGGGACTACTGGCACCAACCAATATGCCCAACTACTTTTAGAGGCTAGGTCTCACTCTGGCTCAGGCT